AGTTAGTTTGTATAAAGTCATACATAGGGAGGATATTTCAACCCATTTTAAATGACTATCATAAAAATACTTGAGATATCAAAGTCCGGTTGTAACTGGACACCCTTAAAAATAACAAATTTTTTTTTGGCAAATGTGACTTTTTACTGCAACTTCGTGAGTAGGTGTGATAGATTTTAGATATAGAGCAACTTTGCTATTTTATATGGGCTGCCTGTATATTTTTATTTACTCAGAGAGCCCAATCTTGCCCTTTTCTGAAAGGGTATCGGTCCTATTATCAATGTTTTAATAAGGTAAATTGGTTCAACGAAATATTTTGAAGCCAAAAATCTACTATACTAAACTTGTAGGTACAATTACTTAACATACAGGGCATATTTAAAATAATATTTCAACTTAGAAAATGAACAAAAAAATATACAAAAATCATCAGTTTAATGACTGCTGACAATTGACTGTACCACATATATTAGATCCATTTTTTTATATTTTTTAATTTTTAATTTATTTATTGTGTAAAAAATATACCTGTACATATGATAAATTTTTAAATAGGGAAATTAAAAGACTTTTTGAATATCTAAAAATATAGTGGGTCTTCTATTCGAAATAACAAAGTTGCCTATTTCTAAAAAAATCATACTCAAATCCGGTATAAGAATACAAGTGACATATACCAAAAAAACTTCATTAATTTTAAAGGTGTTCAGTGAAAACCAGACATTGGTATATCAAATACTTTTTGAGATACGTGCATCTAAAATGAAGAGTGGGGGAAAAGAACAATTTCACTAAGATAATGATTTAAGAAATTGACAATTAAAGATTATAATCCTCCCGAAAAGGTATTTTTATCTATAAATTAAAATGAAAATGAGTAATATTTATTGACAAGATGTTATTATTATTATGCAGTACTAAGAAACCTTTACTTCCGCATGGATTACTTTGCCCCAAAAACATACCGGATAATTAGCCTGACATCGTTTTCCATGAAGACATTGGAAGGGCTAGGGGAAATGTACATAAGGTGGTTATTACAACACCACTACACCCAAATGAATATGCATAGATCCCAGGTAACTACTGATTCAGTCTTTCATTTAGTTGCTGGCTGGATAGAGAAATTACTAGATAATAAAGAGTCCGCCTTGGGTGTTTTCATAGACAGAAAAGGTGATTTTAAAAAGACTACTTTCCCCAAGATAATACACTCACGCTCACTAACCAAGAGGTATGTTCTACAGATGATTAGTAGGAGGAACATGCTTCTCGACACCATCATGAGCTGCCTTAATAATGACAGTCTCTTTACATACCGTATGCAAATGACCTGGTCATCCTGCTAACGGAAAATTTTGAGAACATACTCTGCAAAAACAGCAAGTAGCTCTCAAAATTATAGAATAGTGGTGCAATAACCACTCACTAGAAATGCTGATTTTCACAAGAAAAGGATAAAAATAGAATAACATCCTCCAGAGCTGCTATATCCAAAGTGCTGCAAAAACCATTCATTAAAAATGGTTCTTTTCACAAGAAAATAATGAAATGGAACAAAATCTTACAGAGCTTTTATACACAAAACTAAATTTTGCAATACAGGTCTCACCTTTCACAGCAAGTTAACATAAAACTCACACCTAGAAAACAAAGTCAAAAAACATACATTGTTTATGAACAATGTCGGCAAACCTGAGGCACACCTGGGCTTTCTCCCCCAGAGGCGTCATATGGGCTTACATAAGACCTATGCTAAGATAATAAATATGATGCAATTATCTGGGCAACTCAATAATTGACAGCTATCCGAAAACTACAACAAATTCCACGAAAAGCATGTCTCAACATAACAGGAGCCATAAAAATCATGCCAATCAAATATATGGAAGTCATTCCTAGTCTCTTTCCCCTTAATATTTACATCAAGTAGGTTACTGATGACAATGACATGATCCGCATGGTTGGGATAGAACCTCATGTAGGAGATTGTAAGCTAACGTCCCTCTTGCCATGAGAAGCTCGATGCGCTTCCATTGCTTTAAGCGAACATATACTCCACCTATATCGGTCATTACAAACCTAATTAAAGGATAGTCCCGTGTAAAATTCAAGGAACAATGGGATAAAACAAGAAGCTGCGGAGCAAAACGCCACAGCAAAACAATTACTTGACTATGACTAGGCAGTACGGAAGCATCTTATTATAATGGGAATGTCAAAATCTGCACTCTGTAGAGGGCAATAACAAGAAGATGAAACCATTGAGCATATCCTCTACGATTACCCGACGCTCTCATTTATTCGAAGATTTGTGTTCGAAGAGTAGTGGCTAACACCGGCCGATATAAGAGAAGCACCTAAAGGGGCTATCAATTTAGGAGGATGCAAGTTTCGTGGGGCAACCCATCCTCCGCATGTTACAGATAGAATTGGATAAAAAAAAATGAAAAAAATCTAAGCTGACTGAAAATACAGGAAAGAAAAAATATGCAATGTCTACACAAACACGTGCAAAAACAAACAAGTTGTTTAGCAAAACATATTGTTGAGATTTAGTACTAAAAAGTTTTGTCAGAGCCTTTGAGACTGGCAGGCTCTCCATATAGGATTGTTCTGCTAATATAAACTAAGAGGAGGTAAAAATAATATTATTATCGATTTTGTCTGTTTTAATAACCAGAGTAGATGTCCAAGAAGATTTGTAATGTTCTCAGTCACAACTTATTCTTCGATGATCTATCAGGTGTCAACCATCAAAGTAACTACTATGAAAAATGCTCATGTTTATCCAGTACACCTTGGACCTTGCTTTTTTATTGTGTTAGGCATTCCTAACAAAATGGCTATCGTGAAAGGGTTATTATATCTAAGGGGTTGCGACGTGCGAATTATTCTATCTACAATACGTGAAATCATGAATAATGGACTAAATTTAAATATATTTTCAAATATTGTCAAACACAATGAAAATAAAAAACGCGACTAGTATTTCAAATAAAAATTGCGTCCAAGATGGAAGTTATGTCACAAACCCCCTTAAATAAACGAATCCTTCCCACTGACAGCTATTGTTTAACAGGTCGTTGGAATGCCTATTTTTGAATGGTGATTACTCCTAGACTACGCATGGTCTTGTGAAATGCGTTTTCGCGTTTCGATATACTATTTTAAGAAAAGGTTTTAAAAAATTAAATGTTCTTCCCAAATAGAAATACACCTTTCCACCCTGTATTTTCTGTTCATTAATATTAAGAATGTAAACCATTAAAATAATCTGTGTTGGTGTAATTTACATTTAAGAAAATATCCCCTAGGGGCATTTAACTATTATTGTAATTTGTTCACAGACCATCAATAAATAGTTGTACTTATTCTAACTTAAACTTAAAACAACTAAGATCTTTAGAGAAATAAGGCTAATTCAAAGACTTTGTCACAGAAAACAATCGAGCAATAATTTATCGCCAAAACCAACTACTACTCTGGGTGTGTGCCTCGACAGGTATTGAATTAATTGTAAATAGCACAGGTAGACAATTATTTTTAACACTCCAGCTTTGACTTTACTAAGAAGAAGATCATTCTTGGACCGATTTCATTCTTATTGGGACTCTTCAGCAAGAAATAGAAATAATCATGTCCAATCCCCAGTGAAAGTAGTAGAAACTCGTACAGCGCAATGTTGATTCAGTGAAAATAAGGAATGCGAAAGTAGCGCCATCTACCAGCTAGATCGCTGGTCGCTGCGAACGATATTTAAAACACCGGTCATGAGTCTCGAGTCCCCAATAGCAATAGCCTGGCCACGGTCTGAGTGGATGACCGAACTTGCAGGGCTCAAAGCCCACTTAGCCGGTGGAATGGATGGTTAGATTAGGCTTGTTTTGGTTCTTTCGGAAACTAGTTCAGAATCACTGAATTACACTCGATCAGCTAAGAGGTTGTTATAACCAGATAGCACAGGACGTCCTGATTTGGTCCCTTGTTGGTCCGGTTGGTTCCGGACCTAAAAAGGACAACTACTGGACCTCCGATAACCGTAAACACTAGGACGTCCTTCGAAGGACGTCCTATTTTGGTTCCGTTTTGACAAAGCGTTTAGTTCTCGGTCCGAGTCTAGGACGTTAATGGGAGGTCCATGGGACTTTCTATGTACTAGCATCGTTGGTCTTTCAATCGATAACTTGAAATTCAACGTTTTGTTTTTGCAACACTTTGACTTTATCAAGTAGAACATTCTTCTTGCGCCAGTTTCACCCTTATTAGGACTTTTAAGCAAGAAATAGGCATCATTACTTCCAATTCCTGATGGAATCTGTAGAAACGTTAAGTTCGTCCGTATAGTTCGATGTTAGTTACACTTAGTATGTAAACTTACAGCGTTCTTGCTGAAAAGTTTAAACAAATAGATCTCAGTAAAATAAGTATCATGTGCGATTTGACACAAGCAAGACATTTTAAAATGTCAGAATGACAGCAGCCGACTTCTATTATTGAACCTCGTCTTTTTGAATTTATTACTCCTATGTATCGGCTTCAATAAATAATACAATGTGTGTTCAAATAAGAAAGGCTATCGGCTATCGGGGTCAGTAAGGTTACAGTCTGTATCTCAGAATCTGTGCGTCGGTCGAATTTTGAGAAAGATTTTTAAATATGTGTTCAAGTTGAATCGCTGGAAATTATCAATTTAACTGTAGATAGCGTAATGGTTGTCTTATGACCAATGATAAACAAAAAATAAGGATTTTCATATTTTTGATATAATTTGGCATATATTTGGGACCACTTTAGTTGAAAATAATTCTCAAATCTGTAGCATAAAGTTACTTAGATATGTAAATCCTCATTTTCTAATTCGATAATATTTCCCCACTATTATTCAAGTTTTTTCTCCTTGTGTCCAACATTGCTGGATATTACAATTTGTATTAGATAATGATAAAATATCAAAGGACAATCATATTAAAAAAATAAATAAATTGTTAACTTACTCAGCTGCCTGCCTAAAGTTCTGCATGGCAAATTGCAACAAGGAATATCTCCCGTTTGGAGGAAGAGGACTACTTGGAGATTGGCCTCCATCTCCCCTCGGCTGATGCTTTGGCAACGTATCTTGGATGCTATTTCTGAGAGACTTGACGTTATTATTAGTGATATTGTTGATGGGGTTGTGGTTACTACTGTTGTTGTGGTTACTACTGTTGTTGTGGTTACTACTGTTGTTTTGGTTACTACTGTTGTTGTGGTTACTACTGTTGTTGTGGTTATTGTGATTGCTACTGTTGACTAATAATTCAAATTGTTCTACTGGTGGAGAACGTGCTCGTTGTGGTGAGGATGCGTCCCAGTGTGTTTTTGACTGAAGCTGAAAAATTATTTTTTTATTGTTTTTTTCTTTTAGGATAGATAAATAAATATAATTTTTAGTTAATCTCGTATTAATAGTAAAATTTATGTACGTTGAAAGAAGTGAATACGGCAATAACAATCGAGTCACAAGTTCTTTTTAATCCGAATAAAATTTATTATTTTATCTTTAAAAGTCATGTTATAAAATTATTTATTAAAAATCTCGAATTTCGCCATCAATAGAGCCGATAGCAGATGAACAAATACTTTTACCCCACTGGCCAATAGCAACGAAATAATTTTACTTTACTCATCGCCAATAGCAATACATCTTGTTGCCAAAAAAGCTCAACTTTAATGTTATTAAATTGCTTTAAAGAAAAAGTATTGTGTAAATTCTTTGGAAATTTCTAAATAGATTTTTCAAAACTACCTCTCCTAAATACTGAAAACTATTTTTAAACACCCAAGGTTAAAAAAAATATATTTGATTATTAAATTAATTAATTCAATTCCAACTCGGTAACAGAATATTCTCAACTTCTCAATGAACCACTAATCAGCATCGCGTAATAAAACATGCCGGACGCATGCAGATCCTCTCTTGGTCGGCTTTGCCTGTGTAAATGTGCGTATAGATAAAACGGGCCAGTTCCGGGCCGAACCTTAACCAACAACGGGCCCAGGTTCATCAGATTTGTACGGTGTCGTATATTTACCAAGCGATGGAAAGAAAATGGACCTACTTCGATCCTATTTGGCCCGGCCCGTAGTAGGCTCGTTGATTTCCATCGCGCGGTAAATATACGACACCGTACAAATCTGACGAACCTGGACCCGTTGTTGGTCTGAGTCCGGCCCGTTATATCTATACGCACTTTTAAGTTTCCGTAAATACGTAACAACGTAGACACATACAGTTTATAAGAATTACAGCACATTTAAAGGTAATCACATCGATTTCTGTTGAACCGCCACTTGTCATGCGATCCCAAATGATTATTTTGTATAGGTAAATACCAAAATATACCAACACAAGTCATGATATATGTCGTTTCTAAAATAACTCCATTGCATTGCAGAGTTCCCTTGTCAGTTAAAATAATGGCGTCAGATAGTGAAGGTGACAGCAAAGCATTTTCTAATATTTCTGTTAAAACAATAGGTAAACAAAAGTTATATAAATAGGAATTATTAAAAAAGCTAGATTAATAGAATCAGAGTATTGGAACTACAAAAACACTATAGTTGATGATAGAGAACAAGGACATTACTAAGAGATAAAACATTATAAGTTAGAAATAACTTTTTAACTAAACTAGTTTTATCTTATAGATATAGACTAAAATATTACCAGATATGTATAGAAGGAGATAGAAGGGATATTTGCATATTCCTAAAAAGGATCGCGATTTTTGGGTGGCACAAAATTGATCGAAAACATTTGATCGAATAGATTTGATCGAAAACATTTGATCAAATGCATTTGATCGAAAAAACATTTTATCGAATAACAATTTATCGAAAAGAAAAATGATTAAAAAGAACAATGATCGAAAAGAAAATTGATCAAAAATAGATTTGACAGAAAAAGCAATTGATCGAAAAACCAAATATACATAAAATTATAGAAAAATAAGAAAAATAAAAACAATGATTTTAAATTATTTACCTAATCTGTGCGGCCTAGAATCATCGCTGGTTGCTTCGTAAAAAGAAATATACAAAAAATGAAAAAATAAAAAACTTAACAAATGTACCTAACTTGTGCGAGAACAATCAATTACATTTAAATAGCACAGGTTAGGAATATTAGTTTTTTATTTTTCTCATTTTTTTTAATTTTTTTGCGTGGCTAACCGCGACGACTCCAGACCGCACAGGTTAGATAAGTTGGTTAGGTTTTTTATAAAAAAAACTTAACTTAATTACCTAAAAATAAAATAGTTTAATTTCGTTCTCTAAATTACCTAACCTGTGTCAAAGCAATCAGTTATATTGCTCCAGGCCACACAGGTTAGGTAAATTAGTTAAGTTTTTATTTTTCCCTTTTCTGTATAATTTTTTTTGCGAACCAATCCTCAAGGGCTCCATGCCGCACAGGTTAGGTAAATTAGTTAAAATTTTTGTTTTTAGTTTTCTTATTTTTCTATAATTTTTTTTTGCGATAAAATATATCTTCGATCAAATGTTTTTCGATCAATTTTATGTAACCCGCGATTTTGATGAAATTATTTTAAAATGGCCGAGAACAGAAATCAAAAATGAATAATTGATTTGCATTAGTATTGTATAATGTGTTTTTAATAATTATGGGTTCTTAATAAACATGTTCAATAAACTTATGCAGTTTTAATAAGTTGAATAACTGTTCATTATAGAAAAAAGCACAAATCAAGAGTTTTTTGTGAATATTTAATTATGTTTTAGAAAACTTTGTAAAAGTATTTTGTTTAACACCTTGTTACAATACTCCAAATTCAAAATTCTTCAATACCTATTAAAATATATTTAATAATAACAACTAAAGACAGTATTTGGTGAACAGTTACGTACTAGAAAATAAGATTTCTCTTTATTTTATTGGCCGTAATATCAGATATTCAATTACATTATAATTTATTCACATATTGATTATGAAAGTTGTTTTATTTCTGTTTTATAGAAACTGATTTTCTTGTTGACAATAATTCTAGTTGTTACGATTATCTTCATACAATATCACTTATGCTAAACACGTCTATTCGTTTATAAGTCATACATAAAACGTAGTAAGTATAGAAAAGAAGCATTAATTATTTAGGAGATCATAAATGGAGAATAAAGGGATACCGCAAATGAAAGAAAACAGTTCGAACACTGAGGAACTCGAGATGTAGAGAATGGGTTATTTGTCGGAAGTCCGCTAAACAATCTGAAAAAATATCATTAAATCCTTTGATCGACCTTTAAGGTAGATATATTTTTTTAATAGAAATTTAATTTCCTGTCCTCGGTTTGTTTTTTCATTTCCAAGCATTAGAAAAAAAATTATTAAATAATTTAATTATATGCCTATTTTTTCCGTTCGATTTTGAGATGTTTTCTAATTAAGGATTTTTTACAATATTCCTGTTTTACATTTAATATCTTCTTAATGTTTCAAATAACCTAACCAACAGTAAATAAAATAATAAACACCCATAACGACGATACTTTAGCTTACACTCTTTGAATGCATTGCAGCCATTCGATGCGATAGTCTAGTTCGTCTTTATCGGGACACCTCAGCGAGATAGAGTAACGTTATAATACAGGGTGTCCCGAAATTAGACGGTCATATTTTAACAGCGTATTCTACATCCTAAAATAGGAATAAAAGTTCATATAATCACAGGGTGTTACAAGTGAGGTCCTGATGGGACATTTTTGTAAATATTTTCTAAAATTTCTTTAGTCGCCGGTTTTCCAAAGTAAAAAAATAAATAAAATTTATTTATCATGCAATTTGCAAATGCTTTTTCTTGAAAATGGTGCGTCCTAGCGAGATGCAACAGAAGTAGCTTTATTATAAAGAAAACATTGGTTTTTCAAAAATGTTAAAAACTGTCAACAAAAAAAACTTAGGGCAATTTTACCCTAAGCCCCCCTAATTTACCCACCTATGAAGATGATCAAAAACTGGTGGTTGTTGATATTAAAATGAATGCCAGGAAGTATATGCTTTCCTGAAAGCTACATTTAAAGCAACCTCTGCATATACCTACGCCAGATTTGTATGGACAAACGTCCACCTTGAGTAAGGCTGTCTCCCTGTTATTTCAAAAAGTATTATGTTTTGATATTTAAATTCATTCTACCGCAAGTTAAATTCTATTGTAAATTTTCATTATTAAAATAAATGCCAGGAAGTATATATGTTTTCCTGAAAGTTACGTTTAAATCAACCTCCGCATATACCTATGGCAGATTTGTATGGGCGAACGTCAACCTTGAGTAAGGTTGCCTTTCTGGAATTTTAAAAAGTATAATGCTTTGACATTTAAATTCATTCTACCGCAAGTTAAATTCTAGTGTAAGTTTTTGTTTCACTGTATATCATAAAAAGCCTCTAATAGAGTTAATGGATATTTTAAAAATTACCTACTTTTACTCACAAACCCAGATTAAAAGATTTTTAAATTATCGCCTGCTTTGAAACAGTGAGTTATAGTTATTATTATATTCTCAATTATTTCTGCATGGCTACCATCAGGTCAAAAATAATGGTTACCTACCTAAATATTCATAATTGGAACGTAAATATTTATTGATAATATGAAAGATTAAAAGGATTTGCTCCACAAAACCTTTGCGTGTAAAAAAAGTATCTTTGAAATTATTAGTTATTTAAAACTTTATAATAATACACGCAGCAGAGTTAATTTTAAATTAGATTTAATTAAGAAAGTAGATGATTATTAATTATTAAATTAAAAAGTATTTGATATATAACGAAATTATTTTCAAATATTGTTATTAGTTACTTTTTCAATGATATTTTGATTCATTTTTAGTTAATTGACGTTTTAAATCATTTTTTGATGAAAAGGAAATTATATAACGAGTCAAACACGACATACCAGTATTATTCCAATATTGAGGTGAACCAACTCCAATTTAAGAACATTAATTTTTTTTAATAGGTCATTATTAAATATATTTTATCTTTACTTACTATATAGGTACTTAGCTAATATTAACTTTTTTTATAACTCTCTGTAAGTAAAAGGTATGAATAAAAAATCCATTATATTAGTATACAGTGTGTCCGAAATTGGTGATGCATGTATTGCGATCTCCGAAACTGTTAGAGATAGAAAAACAGTTAAATGGGGAAAGTTTTAGACAATTCTGTTTAGAATTCAATGCCGTTTAGTTTGAGATTTTTTCTCTTTTTGTTTTTGAGATATTAAAAAAAAAAAAAACTAAAATAACGCATTTCCGAAAATACCCTGTATTTTCTTTATTTATGAAAATTTCCAAAATCTGTGAAAA